GAGCCATAACGTGGCATTTAGTGCGTGGGTAATCGCGGGTCTAGCCGGGTTACGCCTTAGTTTTTCTGCATGGCTAGATGCGAGAAGGAATGACCGGAGCGAGCACCGGGGATCAGCGTGACTAGCGTCTCCGGGCTCAGAGTTCTATGCGTTCTGCCGGACCCGATGAGGACCGGCAATAGCCAAGTAGCGCACGGCATGGTCTTGCCAGCCCACAGGCAGTATGATTACTATGGGAACTAGGTGCCGCATCTGAGAAACAGCAGATCTTCAGTGTAAACGTTCTCAGGCCCTCCTTCAGAAATTTGCCATTCTAAAAGGGTTCTCTAGTCGTCTTAAAAGGGTTCTCTAGTCATTTGCTTAATTTAATTGTATCCGGTTTTCTAAGTTTCACACCTCAAACCACACGGCCTTGTTAAGGCTTATCCAAAAACAGGGTAAGGGGCCCACAGTTCAACCTTCTGTCAGGATACAGTTGGGCGGCAGCTGAACGACGAGAAAAGCCAGACCTGTAAAGACCCTGTGTAACCAAATTCAGAGTTCCACAACAACGAATCAAGATCTTGCAACCATTAACCATCTTCAGAACGGTGCCTAGATTACGCATCAACTCATAACAGCAAGCTGTCGCTCATTTATCAAACACTCTGTTGACAGTGGTCATGGACCGAGTCTGCTATCAGTCCATCCAGTACTGCAATGGTTAAAATGAGAAGTTTCGTTTCTGACTGCAGACATCAACGATGAAGCACCACCCAAGATCTCCCCCCGACAAGCGCTTCTTCACCCCAGCAATGCGCAAAGGCGGCCTCCTCGCTCTGCCGCATTCTCTTCCTCCCGACCAAAAGCCAGCCCCCCCGAAGTCTTCCCCTGCTGACGTCAATCAGGGTTCACCCCTCCTGCTGACGTCACTGCCGCTGTCACCACCCCCGCTGATGTCCCCGTTTTAAACACCACCCCTGCTGACGCCGCCGCTGACGTCACCACCTACGGTGCGGCCTCCCGCTGCCTTGCTAGCCGCGCAAGGGGTCCAAGCTGGCGCGCAGGGTCGCCGGGCCCGTTCTAAAATCTCCCACCTCTAGTTTCCCCGGTTGGAAAGACCGCCCTGGATCTCCCAAGCTCACATTCCTTCCTCCGGAGCTTCAGCCAGGCCCTGGAGCAGCTACTTGAGCGCGTTCGCACTGGACGAGATTCTGGCGGCGCTGGGGTGTCAACGGGCGGATTCTGTTAGGTCGAGGTGCACTTGGTTTGGACGGAGGCGCTGTCAAAGGAGTTGTTGGCCAAGCAGGCCCCTTGGGAAGTCATGTTTCTGGGGTATGTAATTTCGCCGCTTCTCTTATCTGCTTCCTGCTAAGAGTTGCTGAACTTACAAGCTTCCCTCATCTGAGCGGCAAGGCTGGTTGTTCTGAGGGCTATCCGCCAAACCCTGACTTCTATCCCATTGGAAGGCCGAGTTTGTCAAAAAGGGCGTTCTGGCAAATAACACGGATGATCCCTTCTGTGCGCTGGAAGAGGGGACTTACGAGGCCGCGTGCTTTTGGCTTTGATTCGGATCAAGTCTGCGGTTAACTAGGCGCGAAATATTGTACAAATAAGTCGGCGGCGCTGCCAACTCCAGTTGTTGCTTGACGATCGTTTTCACGAAGTCGATTGATTGGACAGGGACGGCTTTTCCAATACAACGAGCTAGTGAAATTAGTCGATGGGCACTTCGATCTTCGTCCTGCAAGCTTTGGAAAAGTTTCGTCATATCATGATTACGTGAACTTCTTCGTCCTCTGCAGCCGGGTCGACTAGGTGCACGTGCACGAGATATTGTGCCCCCAGTTCGTTCTCGCCTACCTTTGCGGCAATGGCATTCATATCTCGTCCGCCGTTCATAGGTTGCAGCTTCTAAGAAAATACCCTGCTGCAAGCGACAGTCTGCAACCCGAAGCAAAACTCAAGGCACTCCTCTTCCTTTGTGAGCAGGCCCTGGACGGCGGACCAAGGCGGGAAGGCAAAACGTGAGCGAGAGGATCGTTGATATGACAGAATGACGTCAGCTAGTCAGCGACTGATGGGGAGCAAGCGGCACCCGCTGCCAACCCCACAGGTAGGAAGTGACGTCGCGGACGGTAATAAGGACTTGGCGGAGTCAGGGAGCGCAAAAGGGTTTGGCGACGACACGAGAAGCAAACTCTCAAAGTCGTCAATGCAAGGGCCTTACGGCCTTCTGGAACGTAAGGGCGGGAAAGACGGGGCGGGGGAGGGCGCGGCTGCACAGGGGGCTGGCTCAAACCATGGAGAACCTGCAATAGAGGCTTCCGAATGAGCGTCCGGATGAGTTACCGCTGCTAACTGCCACGCGCTAGGTTGGCGTGATTAAAAAGTCGTTTTCAGGCGAGACAAGCAAGGGGCGTTGCAAACCTGACCGGAAAGTAGGAGTTTAAAAGGAGGCAAGAAAACACACCGGCAAGTGAGACAGGCGACGGCCGCAGCAGTGCAGGTCATTCGAAGGCTGGGAGATAGAGTGGATGTGGAGGGGCCGCGAGCAGCTGCTTCGGGAGAAGGGCCGTCATTAGGGGGAGGGGTAAGTGAGCTAGATGGTGGACGGTGCTGCTGACGTGGCAACTACTTCAGTCCTATTCCGGAGATGGTGGAGAACACATCAACGAGAACTACATCTGATTAACCCTGGTCAATATAAGTCCGCAGACCTCTTCCTGATTTTGCGCACAATCTATATTGGTGTCACATATGTATTGCTGGGGCGAACAGTCAACCTCGCAAGTGTGAGTCAAGATCCTTCCTCCAACTTTGCCCGTGACTGCTTGACTCTTACAAATTATACATGCCGCACATGTGCACGCGAGTGCTTTTTACCCAAATGATCGATCGAGCTGCAGTGGCACCCATTTGGCGCTGAGCCTGAAAATATTGATTTCCACAATGCCAGTATAGCTCGTTGTTCACAATATCGCTGAAGAAGATCAGTCAATCATTGAATGCAACCTGCTCATGCAGCGCGTTCAAATCTACGCTCAAATGTCGGAGGTACAGGGGCCACGAGGCAGCCTACCGGCGTCAATTCTAATGCTAACAACGTGTTATAGAGCGACGGTCTTTGACGACGAATCTGCTGTTAATCGGCTGAGTGGCTTTTCAATGATTGGCAATCACGTAACGATCTGTCGGGAAGCAACCCCGATGAGACGTCTTGCGATTCAAAGTCCTATGGTTTGATAAATTCGACCGTTTTGCTGAGATGACAATGCCTGGAACTACCTGATTCCATCACCTTAGTACGAGTATTTTGCGGCCGCTTATATGCTAGCGTGTTCTTAAGTTTGCGATGATTCGAGCTCTTATTGGTCCATGGAGTTCACAAGTTGTGCCACTTGATACAGCCGTTTCTGCACAGGTATTTAGTAGAGGTGAGACGTCGGGAACGTTCAGCTAAATGATTTCTGTGCAAATGCAAGCTAGCACTTTGAAATGAATTTGTCAATGGACTAACACAAACTTCTCTGGCCAGGCCAGCCGCAGTCGCAAGCAGACGGCTCTGTTCCGGCGGGGCTTTAAGGCTCGACTTGGGACACATGCACAAATTTCAATGCGGACCACGCTTACCAACTTTGACAGCGTGAGCATACGGCGCATCGCATGGAGGCCGAACATGTATAGAGCCAGGTCGCCCGCCGTGTAGACCTTCAAGATGATAAGCGCTTTCTTGAAGTCGTGCTGCTCCAGTCTGAATCCCAGGACCATGACGCCTATGTACTTGAACAGCGGATAACCGATCCGCCAGGCGCGCACGTATCCGCTGACTGCAGGAGTTAGAGAAGATCAGGAGTCTGAAATTGCCCGGCAGTTCAAAGCAGAAACTCATATCGAAAACACTGTTGCGAAGCTGAAAACTGTGAGGGATCACATCATTGTGGAGACGGGGCAGGGAGCACAAGCAAGGCAAATGGTTTCCTAACCAAGCAAGTACCCCGTTGGTGTTTGAATTTAAGCAACTTTTTAGGATCTCTCATCCGTTGTATGTAAAACGCCTGCATCAGCAGCCCATTTGAGTGCTCACCATGGACGTTGCGCGCAACTTTGTAGATTGTGCTACCCCCCGCCGCATCCACAAACTGCCTGCACGCCCGGGCCAGCCTCAACGCGTCCTGCTTGAACCAGTCCAATCTCGCCTGACTGGTGTTCGGTACCTTGTGGTCCTTGATGGCCTTCACAAGCTCTTCCGGATCTCGAGCGCGGGCGCCCAGGCGATCCGTCGGTCGCATCGTAAGCTTTCCGAGCAGGCTCCTCAGACCAGAAGATTCCAGTCAGCTTAAACCGCGACAGTTGAGTTGGTGAGGATATGAAGACGCGCTCGGACGAGCTGAGAATTTGAAGCTTAAGAGGAGAATTCGGCTAGAGAGGTGACACTTAGCATTGAGCAGACGGATCAACGTATTGAGCAACATCAAGTAAATGCGTACAGGCGTGCCTTCTGTACGCACGCGCACGTCCTATTGTCCTACTTCAGGTCGATCTGGGTTATGCATATCGAATGGAACACCTTCTGTGGTAATTTTTGCCCGCATCTCACCTCCCATGCGCTATCATTCCGGACTCATCGGCACTGCATCGCTTTCGTGAGCCCGCAAACGTAAGAAACACAAACTAGAAGCGGAAAGGATTCCAAAATGGACCGCGGAACCCAAGAAAAGGATGCGCAATCTTTTTAAATGCACTTATTTTGCACCTCTAGAACGAGATATTCGAGCATTACGTAGTCTGGTTGGGCGACCATTTACAAGCTTAGCTCAGAAGGCGTTACCAGTTGGCTTTTACGTACAGCAGTCAAAGAAAGGAACATGAAGGACTTGATAGGGGATCCGCCGCTTTGACGCCTCACATGACGTGCGAAGACAGTAGAGACAAGAGGTGCAGGGACGCCAGAACGATGCCGACGGATATGGTGGCCCATCCAATGGTGTGGAAGGCCTTTTTGTGAAGCAACTTTCACATGGGGTCTCCCTCCTTTGATCCATTCGGTAATCACTTCCAGATTGTACAGGACAAGACTTTCGAGACAAGCTATGACAGTGTGCTCTGCAAGGTAGAAGGTTGAAAGTTTCAGTATCCCCCGAAGACGTCGAGAAAAGTTAGTCCTTAGTGCATGAGGCTTAACTTAAGGAGCACACTCCCAGAAAGCGGCGATAAAGCTTTTCGGACTCTGTAAATTGGCTTCTAACTTGCTCCAATTTTTAACTGCATTCAGAAGAGTTCTCAGTCTTTCTCACACAAGGCTAGTTATCTAGTGCAGAAATTAATAAAGCCCGTGTAAATTTGGATGTTAAAGAGGAGGAAATATGCTTTCCGAAGTCAACATTGCAGGAACATTTCGAGTTCTATCTTGGTATTCTATCTTGGTATCTCAGTAGCCTTTGTGTGCAAAGTCTGGACGGAGCAAGATACCGTCGCGTTTCAAAGACTATTTTTGTTCAAAAGCACCTCCAAGCAGACCCAGACAGTTGAGGGATGCGAGCCAAAGGGACCTGATTAGTCTCCGGCATGCTTGCCGGGCTTTATGATTCCCAAGATCGGCATCCAAGAGGTGAGTGCTCAATTGCGACTGACCGTTGAGGACGAAAGCACAGAAGCCCTCAGGGTTGCCAAAGAACATATGATACGCGTCCAGCTCGCACACGTACATATAGTAGATGCCACGGGCCTCTTGCTCTGGTGACAGGAGAGTCCCTGGTGTCGGGGGTGGCATGAACAACGTGTCGAGAGGATGTAGATCGAGCTTGCCTACGGAAGGGAAAGAAAAGGGTGCAATGCTCGCTAAGATCAGAAGATGCCACGCGCGGATTGCCAGGGACACGAGGGCACGCCGGATGATGGTCCACTTTGAGCAAAGCGGCGGCAGCACGACACACAAGCCAGATATGACGAAGACCGGTATCACAACCAGCAATTTCATGGTTCCCACATGTGACGGTTGGACAGGGTCACACGCTGCCTGTCTACTTCACATGTGCGGAAACCATGCGAAGCTTCTCAGCACGCCTTGGGATCACCTCGTGCAAGAGCGCCTCTCAGAAAAATTGCGTCTTCTTGCCTTCTTCCCAAAGACTGATTAGTTAAG